CCGGAGGTCAATAAATTGAGCCAATATAGAGGGGTTTCATACTAGCAAATTCCAATTTGGACCAGATCCCTTCATAATTGCCAGATAATTCATGCTCTTGGGAGACTATTAGATCAGATGAAAAAGCTGATAGTACTCCACCATGCATGTTCCTGTCTTTTCTGAAGATCGTATACCCCTTATCAACAATTTCATTTGAGTAGATAGAATCGTCAAGGTGTGTTTGATTGACATTAATGATTGATGGTTTATATTGATCAATAATATTCTGGAATTCAAGACGTTTTGAGGTACTTCGAAGACTACAAGCATCAATTGGTAAAACTCGAAGTTTGTTTCCACTGAGACGTCGATGACTTTTTGGTAGGTTTCACTGTGGTGTCGAGGATGATGCCAGGGGTTCAGATTGGCTTGAAGACAGAGAATCTGAGCACAGAGTGGAGAAAGAATTATGTAAGGACAATTGTCAATTTCAACTTGTGACCCTTCTGCTTCTCTGGTTTCAGGCAGAGAATCAGCACAAGCAGGTGAACAAAGAGAAGGAAGAGCTGTTGAAAAATTGTCTAATGAACCAAAGAGATGTGTGCCTAGAAAGTTGGAAATCCGATGTTCTCAGGCTGCAAAAGGTTAATTATACACATGAGCCACTGATATAATTTACAATTTTTTTTCCATTTTTATCACTGATCTGATTGTTGCTGGAGTTACTTGCATGACCTTCTGAATATATTTTTCCATCCCAGGAAATATTGCTGAGACAGTTTAGCTTCTATGCAATTCTTTAAATTAGTTTTTAAAAAAAGATGGTGGCAAACATAACCATACCATGTTGGTATCTCGTGTCACGTGAAGCCTATTGCCTCTCAAAACAGAGGAGAAATGGAGAATAAACACGATTTAAAAATGTAGGTCTCTACATAATTTGGTGTACCTTAATTGTTTCTAATATCTAACAGGTTTTTAACAGCATGGTAATTGTTCTTTTTTTCTTCTATGTTTGTTTGTCTATGTTCAAATTTGATCAGAGGACAAAGCTTCCTACCTTAAAAAGCCTCAACTATCTGACGAGGAGGAGCTCTATCTGTGTAATTTGCTGACATTGCAAAACTGCACTCCGAAACAAAAGTTGCTTCTTGAGACTGCCGATCACCTGTTTGGGAAGAAGTTCCGAGAGCTTGAAGCTAAGCCTTGTGACAATGTCAGTGCCGGTGAAGTCGTGTTAATTGAAAAGGGGTTCCATATTTCCTGAAAACGTATCTTTTTAAAGAAGCATACAGTTAATTTTACATTTTAAAGACTATGTACTATACAGATTTTTTTATCACTTTCCAATTTATTGTTAAAATATATTGTTTTTATTTTGTAATTTAACTGTCCTATTCCCCGTGGTTTATTTTAGATACTTTTTAACTTACTGAAAAGTGCATTAGATCATATACTTATAATGAATTTTGTGGTATATAAGTATTAAATTTATTATTTATATTTTTATGTCTAAAAGATCGAGTTGTGCTAATACAGACAATATCCAATATTAGCATATACTAAAACAGTGGATAGCATTGAAGGCACGCTCTGGTTGGCTAGTCAAACTCCGAATATCCTTTGCTATTTCACCTCCAAGCAACTCGGGTAAAAATGGCATCCTGGTTTGCATCCTTGACAAGCTAAGAAATCACTCAAATCCAGTTTTGGAGGTGTTTATTATCTCACTGTTTTAGTATATACTAAAACAACTATTCACCTCAGTGTTGGTGGTTAGTGGTGGATATTTACCTTGCCACTTTGCAGCTTGATAAATATCTAACCCTAACCACCTCCACTTCAGAGAATAGTTGTTAATTATTCAACTGGCACTGACCTTTATCAACAGATATTCTCTTATCACTGATTGATTTTACTGTAACTGGTGGGTGACATTAAAGCCTGTTGAGTGGGGCTTCAAATTTCAGATGAAGCTTGTATGTAGTAATACTATCCGTGTGTAATTAACTCGTGAATTGCGCGCATGCGCAAGAGCGACTTGTAGGTATGATTTGATGAAGGCGCTCGCTTTTTGATGGTGCTTCTGCCAATTTGACCCGGCTTAAAATCTTTGGTGGGTTTCCAAGAGCAGTAGTGCCTGTGAATGATGATGCAGGATATTTGAGTAGAAAATATTTTGTGGATATGTCTTTCACCAATCCAGAGGATCCATCTGGTAATCCAATATTTACAATGATTTGCCTAAGTCATCAGCTAATTAAGAGATGCAAGGCAAATTCAGATTTTTTAGTATGTAGTGTATATTTTATCCTGAGTATTCTCTGAATAAGCTGAATAGTAACAAGGTTAACTGTTTAGCTGCCTAGTAAGGGTAACTGTTTAGCTGCCTAATGTTTAATATACAGTTTCCCACCTTAATTGCTCAAGGATCTATAAATATATATATATATATATATGTGGTCAAAACGCTAATAAATTAGAAAAATTGTTGAGGTCTCCACTCACAAATTGGACTTCTACCGCTTCTCACTTTAACAAACACGTGCTCGGAAATTGTGAAATTCACAAATCTTCTATGACAGCAATGGAGGATTTTAAGAGAGTGATGAGAAGAGGAGCTACCCAATTAACCAGCAGTTGAATCACATAGTTCAACGGCAAATTACAAGAAATTGGGAGATTCTTAAGTCTCTTTAAAACAATCATTTTCTGTGGGAAAAACAACATTCCACTCAGGGGGCGTAGAAATGATGACCCCACTAATGCTGCCCTTACTGGTAATTTCCAGGCACTGATAGAATTTCGGGTAGACAGTGGTGACCAAACACTGCAGCAGCACCTGGACACTGCACCTAGAAATGCCACATATATTTAAAAAAATATCCAGAATTAAATGATAACAACTGCCAGTGCTCATATATTGAATAATTTATCACAGCAAATGAGGAATAGTAAATATTTTTCAGTTATGGCAGATGAAGCAGCTGACATTTAAAATAAGGAAAACTTTCTATACTAATTAGATTTCTGGACACAACTAAGACAATCAGAGAAGAATTTATTGGCTATTACGTTTGTGAGGAGGGAACAACAGGAGAGGTCATTAAAGACATTATAATTCCAGCTTTAGGAGACTTAGGATTGACCATGGAGGACTGTCATGGCAGTGCTATGATGGTGCAGGCAATATGGCTGGACGACTAAATGGGGCTTCCCCATTGATCAGGGCAGAACATGAGAAGGCAATCTACGTCCACCGTGTTTTCACAGCTTTTTACAGAGGAAATGGCTGCTGGAATTCTTGAGCCAGCAAGAGAAAAAGCAATGGGGAAGGAAGTGCTGGACCCCCACAGGACAAGTCTTCTAAAAAGTAATTAATTTCTTTTTAGTTTTACAACATTGTGTAATCACCCAAGAAAATATATTCTCTTAGCTTGTGTCTAGGATCATTAAAGAAAAGCCCTCCTAAATGAATGAAATTATTTTGCATCTTTATTCATGCATGAGCCATAACAGAAATGATTGGAGAGGTTCCATTCCAGAAGTGGGGCCAGATACGGCAGTCTTTAAACCAAAAGTGTTTAGATTCCAAAAGGAAACTTAAAAGTGATGAGAATGTCACTGAAACCTAAAAAGTCACAATAATAAGTATTATTCTTAGATTTTTAGGGTCACTGTGAGTCCAACATTCACATCATTTTTGAGTTTCCAAACTTATAATTCTAAAAATGTATTGTTAAAGGGAAACTCCACCTTGACTCAAATGAACAATTTTAAATTGAACAAAATAATATTTGCAATCAATTTTCACCAAACAACTTTTTGTTTCAGAAAAAAAAAGAATTTAGAACAACTTCTTTTCACTTTCAAATTTCCCAGATGCCACTATCTTGAATGATTGTAACATGCTATGGTTGCAGTTATTGTTTTCACAAAAAGGGCTTTTGTTTTAAACAATACAGCCTCTGTTGCCCATCACCGTTATTCAAGATAGCGGCATCCAGGAAATTTAAAAACCGAAACAAGCGTTTTTGAAATTAGTTTATTTTGGGTCTCGATTCTTTCATTGCAAAAAAGTTTGAACAGTTCTGATTGCGAACAATATGTTCCGTAGTTTAAAGTTATTGTCCTGTTTTAGTGGAGGTTCCCTTTGGGTAAAGAGTGGTACATTAGATTTTTTGGAGCCTAACAATAATTTGTTGCAGCTTTTTCGAATTAGTCTCTCTTTTTGAATTAGTCTCTTTCAAAAAATATTTTATCTTACCTTTATATTTTTTATTAAAATAAGTGGTAATTTTTTTCCATTAATGAAAATTTGGAATACCATTATTACGTTGCAAAGAGGTGCATTGCCCTTTAATTTTACTCGGGAACAATGTAATAGTGTCCTTGTTTTCAGTTTCAAACTTGTATAAATAGTTCATTGCTTTGTAATACAACTATGACTCTCTTTTAATAAAATGTTGTTCTAAAGTTTTTTTCTGCTCTTTCTATTTTGGTAACATTGTTTTTTAGCAGAATATGAGAAATATCTTGAGATCTGAGTAAGATCTTGTGAGAATCTTGGTAAGGTCTTGTAAGATCTTACAAGAAACTTGGTAAGATCCTCTAGGATCTTACAAGAAACTTGGTGAGATCCTCTAAGATCTTACAAGAAACTTGGTAAGATCCTCTAAGATCTTACAAAAATATTGGTGAGATCTCGCAAGAATCTTGTAAGAATCTTGTAAGAATCTTGCAAGAATCTTGCAAGAATCTTGTGAGAATCTTGCAAGAATCATGCAAGAATCTTGTAAGAATCTTGTAAGAATCTTGTGAGAATCTTGTGAGAATCTTGTAAGAAGTAAGATAAGATCTTAGTAAGAATCTTATTAAGAATCTTACTAAGATCTTAATTAGATCTCCACCTGGGTAGACAAGACAGCAATTCCTGTACCATAATTGCTGTTAAGTTTGGAGATTACTGTAACCAAAATAAGTTAGAGATTTCCTTGCTGTGGACATATCTGCCTCAAATGTGGACTACTTTATTTGTAAATGCAAACTGTGATGGAAATGATTTGTACGATGAACTCTATGGAGAAACTGCTGTATACCTAGATATAGAAGACGTAGCACGGTCTCTAGGTACCGATTGTAATGTAGAATCTATCAGTGCACTATTTAGTTTTACAAATGCCAATGATTTTGCTGATTTAATTTTGCATATTTCCAAAGTTCAGCAACCATCCTATGGAGTAATAATTGCCTGCGAAAAGTCAGTTGGAATTTATAGGCAACCTAATGGCCTCTGTGCTTTGATTGATAGTCATGTGCACAATAACAATGGTGCCATCATAGTGGTAGCAGATTCTCCAAGCAAACTTATCAAGTATGCTACTTGAGCAGAATTTAGTTTTAAATATTGGTACTTTTACATGGATACAGTACAGCCATGAATAGGTTAATAAGATATTAAGTAAGGCCAAGAATTTGGAAGGATATTTCTTAAGATTGGAATCCCTCGCAAATTCACGAACCTCGTTGTCCACACTCTTTAGAAATGACAGCAGTTCAGTTCGGGGAAATTTTAAATTTCCCTCATCGAGAGTTTTGAGGCAAGCTGGGATGTTTGATTTATCCTTCATTAGAAGTTCACGGAGGATTTCCAATTCTTTTTGCATGACTGGCTTCCTTGCATCTGAAAATTCTCCACGTCCTTTCTTTCCTTCAACTGTTTCTTCTCAAAGTTTCATCATGCAGTGGAGTGCAGCTCCACAGTATCAGTACAAGATATCAGAAGACTCTTCCAACACGTGAGATCTTGCCTTGCGTCTCCCGTGATGTCGGTTTCTGCTTTCCTTAAGTGCACACAATCATGGATCACTCAATACACATGTTCATGAAGAACACTCAAGACGCCATGGACGGCACCTATAGAGAACTCGTGGTTTGAATTCTTCAGTATTCTCTCTACGATCATTCACTTTTGAGTTGATTTTCCTGGATGGAAGTTGGACAGAAACTTCATCCAGGTAACTGAAAAGGCTGACTTTCCGTAGGTTGAAATGTTACTTTCATATGATTCTTGTGCCTGAGAGGAAAAGCTGTGACAGAATCCACTCAACAACAACTGAAAATGTTCCTTTTGAGCATCAGACAATAACTCCTTCACAAAGCATTTCAACTCTCCCTTAATGCGTAAGTCACTTAACAGAGTTGATCACAGCTGCAGCGCCACTTCCATGGCTTCTTCTTAGGAGAAGATCCAGGACGTAAGCTCTTCAATCTGCTCAGCATTTAACTTATCTTCCACCTTTCGCCTTTTTCTGGACAGTGCAGACTTTGTGGAAGATGTATTACCCTTCGATGTTTTTGCTGTTCTGGCTGGTCCTTTTTCTTTACTCCGACTGCAACTTTGCTCCTCACAACTACTTTCAGAACATGTGCTTAATTCTGATGAAGAGATCACATCATAATCTGAGCTTTTACTGCCTTCACAGGATAAATGATCTACGCCTTCCGCCATTAAAACTACCACATGAAGTAAGACAATAACTTTGTTCTAATTGGCCGATCGAATAGTTTGCACGAATCAAAGACCCCCCGCGGGTTTCTAAAAATACAAAGATACGTGCCAAGGTTGTTTCAGGGTTTGTATGGGAGAGGAAGGCTCCGGGGTGAAAGGCTCCTGGCCATTTGAACATTTGTCTAATGGAACTCGCCTTGATAGTGAAACTGGTTTAGGGGAAAGAAATCCAGATGTCACTAGGGAGCGGGAGAAAGCTGTTAGTGGTGTGAAAGGCCCAGACAGTGGTGAAGAAGAGCATCAAATTCACGTAAATGTCCTTCAGATATAGGAAAATGTTTAACACAACAGTGATGATGAATTCTTGCATTGCCAACTTTAGCAACTTTGGAAAACTGATTTTGATGACTCTGCTATTGGAATAGATACCCTACCATCCATTGAAGACAACAAAGTCTTAGACAAGATGGAACATTCCCTACAAAGAGTGGATGACCACTTTCATGTTGCTCTGTCATGGCGGGAAGAATTGCCTTATCTCCCCAACAATAAACCAATGTGTATTTCTGCACAATCTTCGCAGTAAAGAGCACTATTTAAGCAATAGTGAAAATCAGACCATATATTCATTGTGTTTTATTTATCATCTTATGGGTTTATGTTGAATTAATTTGATGACCTACTCCCAGTCGGCCTGTTAGCTCAATTGGTAGAGCACTGTACAGCATCATTGAGAAATAAAAGAAGCAATCCCAAATGAAATCGGCAAAGACGGTCTACTAGTTCTGCAATACCTATCGCCTGGAACCCATCTAGTGGAAACTACGTCTTAAACACTCACAGAAAATCTAACACAGAATGGCTTCAAAATGCAAGAATTACATGTGCCTGTAATCCGCCGCATGGACACTATGTGAATGTCAGTATCATGGGCCTTGCCGCATACATCCCAGACAACGAAATTATTGCAGCCTTTTAACCATACGGAGAAATTAAAAGCAAAGTAATCCGCCTAAAATACAAAGCTGACCACAACCTGGCCAGCCTGGAAAATGGAAACCGTCTTGTTTGCATGATTCTCAGAAAAGGCTCAACCCTTACTCTTTGAAAATCTGCCATGAATGGAGCCGCATTATCCACAACAACCAGCAGCTGATCTGCAGCGAATGTAACCAACTCAGCCACTCTCGGAGAAAATGCCCAGACATCATCTGTAAAACCTGCAATGGAAAAGGCCACATAGCCGTCGATTGTAATCATGACGAAAACACCACCAAAAAAAATATCTACAACAACAAACGCCTCACAGCCCGCACAACCCGAAATCAACACCCAACAACAACCCTCAGCAACAGAAACAACACAGGAAACTCCACACAACCCCACAGCCATCGAACTAGAGTCTGAACTCCATGATACAATCAAACCCTTAGATGAATCAACAAAATCAAAACAATCCTCAATCTCAGACAATGACTCAGAAAACAACACCGAAAGACCACACACCCGCCAATCAAGGCACAACTTTAAGCCAAACCTCCTACCAAAGCGAACAAAAAATAATCACGTATGATGCACGATCCTCGCAGTAGATAGCGCTATTTAAGTAATAGCGAAAATCAGACCTGAAAAAAAAAAATCAGGCCTGTACAGGACTCGAACCACTAACCTCTGCGATACTAGTGCAGCGCTCTACCAATTGAGCTAACAAGCCAACTGGGAGCAGGCCGTTAAGTTGATTCGTAATAAACCCGTGAAAGTGATAAATGAGATACAATGAATATATGAAGACCATATATGGTCTTCATATATTCATTGCATCTCAAAAAATAATCAGCCCACTACATCCTCACTGCCACAAGAAAAACAGCAACCTTCACCAAATACATCATGATTTTCTCATCGCTCCTTTCAATTTACTTCATGTTCTATTGCAAGTATCAACGTTCAAGGTCTCAGGTTGCCAGACCGCAGAAAACTCACTTTTTCTTTACCATGCCCAAAATAGGATTCGTTTTTTCTTGTTTTTCGCTTAGTATGGATGATTAACGTACTATTAAAATTAAGCCGATTTGATCAGACTTGTTTAAGTTCTGCTGTTCTTGCCCATTATAAACCTAAAAATTCTATCTTTCTTTTATTTGTTTATCTACATCTATGCAAAGGAATTATAAATTTAGGAAATAATCGGTTGAAAAAGAAGATAAAACAAATAGGTCT